GCCTTAAAGCCCAGAGCCGTAGCCCTCAGGACCAAAGTGACTTCTCAGTCGTTCTTGCAGCTCTTTCCAGCGTCCTTTTGGGTTTAGCTTTCAGTTTTTGGGGGGTTTGGAGTACCTAGAACTTCTAGACATAATAAAGCTTTGGGGTAAGTTGCCTTGGGTGGGAAGTGACGATAAGACAGAAGCCGAGTGATTAGATTGGGGTTTTTGCGGCACCGGATAGCATAGGATTTAGGGTTTGGCTTAAGGGTATCCGCTGCCAATTACTCAGACGTCCCCGGTACATAGTCCAATTTTTCTGGCGCAGAAGCTAAAAGGCCACCCAAACCCTGATACCCGAACCTAAACCCTAAACCCTAAACCCTAAACCCTGCCCTAAACCCTAAACCCTAAACCCTAATCCTAGCCTAGACCCCAAGCCCGATTGGACCTGATCCCGAGACCCTAAAAGCTAAAGCTAAGAAAACAGCACCCACCAACCCGTAATCATAACTATATGGCATAATATACCCCAGAGCCCTAATATAGGGGCCTTAATGATTCGAATATGGTTTAGGGTAGTTATAACTATATGGCATAGTATACCCCAGAGCCCTAATGTCCTTAATAATTAGAATATGGTTTAGGCGGTTTAGGGTATAAAGGCCCCGACATTATTCTAATTCTTCAGGCCCCCATAATAAGGGCCGCCTTTGAGGTCCGTCTCCCTGCCCCGGCCTGGCGCCACCTTTGCTTCTCTTTGCGTGGCTTACCTGTTGGGTATCGTGGGGGCCTGAGGGTGCCGAGGTCGGTTTAGGGTTTAGGGTTCAGGGCGTAGGGTGTAATTAGGCTTTAGGGTTCAGGATTTAGGGTGTATAGGGTTTAGGGTTCAGGGTTTAGGGTTTAGGGTTTTAAAGTTTTAGGATGTGGGGTCTTGGGGTGTTCATCTACAGTACTTTCCATTTTCCATTTTGGGGTTTACATGCTTTACAAGCAGTGCAGGGCCCTGGTTCTGTTTGGGCTCGAGATTTTTGGTGCTTCCGGTCTTGGGGTTATGGCGCTTGGGATTCACTGCAGAGTTCTTGAAGGGGCACAGGTCAGACAGTACCTATAGTATCCATTGTAGTTCCTTTTTGGGGATACCTTATAAAATCCTTAATATACAATTGGTTAAACCAAAAAAAGGAACTACAATGGAGACTATAGGTAGTTTGGTAAGATCATGGCCCAGCAATTGAACACGATGGCACTGCTCTGAAGACCTATTATCGAGGCCTGGATAATCAATAGTGCTATCCTGTCTAGCCCTTCTCTAACCGTGATATAACAGCCCAAGCCCTATTCCCATGAATACTGCATATATATTATGACCCCCGAACTCTAAAGCGCTAAGCCCAAAACCCCTGATGAACAATGTCCCAGGAATAAGCCCCCTAAACCCTAAGCCCCTAAACTCCAAATGACACCAAGACCCTACGATCCTAAACCAACAGAATCGGTGCAACAGGGGCCGTTATCCTGCAGTTCTGTGGGTCTCCCGACGTATGCTGCTTTGGGGTTTAAGAGCTAGGATTTAGGGTTTAGGATTGAGGGTTTAAGAGTTGGCATTTAGGGCCGGGCGGTTCAAGTATCTTGCAAGTGAGCATACCAATCTGTCATGTTTGATTTGCAAGAAGCTTTCCAGCCTCTGACCCTCTTCCGAGGTCGCTACAGAGCTGATTGTCTTTGATTGCGGACCTGCAAAGGCTGCTAAGTGGTTTAACCCGGAATAAGAGCACGGGAGTCATAGGGCGTTGGTTTTGGGTTGTTGGCAGTTTGGCTGAGGGTAGCAAGACAAGCACGCATGCGGTCGAATTAGGGTTTTGGATTTTCGTTGACTGCGATAGAAGAAGAGCGCAGTAACATAACTAGTATCAAAGGTAGTCATGAGGACAACACTAACCCTAAACACTTAACATCATAGAATCAGAACGGGACAATCAACTCGGGACCAGCGCTTTCAATCTGAGGGCCCTCTGCTCTTTGCCTCTGCAGCTGGCTCCCTCCCCTGATCCAAGTGCCGAGAGTGGCAACTCATTCTGGCATGGCGACCGCTGAAGAATCTATTTCTGGAGGAGAGGGAGGGCGCTGCACCTTCTCCTGTGACGTATCATCCGAAACCCTTTTATCAAAACGTAATACACCTTGCAGATCCGAAAAAAGGCCCACCCGAACATTGCAAGCAAAGCGATCGACAAGAGGCGGACAATTTCAAACCCTAAACCCTAACACCAATGACTATGAACCTGAAGCCCTAAACCCTCTAAGCCTTTCCTAACCCTAACCTGCCTTTCAAGCGCCAAGCGACTCAAAGCATCCATACCTCAAGCCCGGGCCTTTACCCGCCACTTCGCGGACCTTGGGCTCTGATACTGCAAGACCGCCGGGGGCGCCTTTGAATTCCCGAAGCCCATCGACAAAAAGGGTGTAGGGTTTAGGGTCAATGCTTCATAGAAGCCCCATCAAAGTCTTAAAAACAGCTCACGAAGCTCAAGACACTCCTATAAGGCCCTTACAAAACCTTCATGGAGGCTGCTTACCACTTCTACTCGATTTCCTTGCGATCGTTGATCGCCTCTCGTCTGGAGTTGGATGTAGCGTTCGTATAAAGGCCCCTATGAGGGTACTTTGAGGGGTTTCGGGCTTTGAGGGTTGAGGGTTTTTAAGGGTGTTAGAGCATAGTGCTTGAGGGTTTAAGGGTTCGGTGTATGCGTTTTTTGAAGTTTTAGGGTCTTTGTTCTTTTGGTGTTTGGGGTTCTTGAGAGGTCTTTGCCTAATTCTCTTGAGTTGGGGAGTGACGGAGAGTGTAAGAATGTTATGAGTTCCCACAAAGCCATTTCAAGTCCCCAAAGTTGTTGGGTTTGTTTTGCATGGAAGCCCTTTATTTAGTAGTGGAGTAGGTAAGCTTTAACCTTTTGGGGTACTATAACCCCTATATAATCCCAAAGGT